CAATATGACAGTCACATATGTTACTCTTGAGGCACCCCCTGCATTAAGTGTGCTTGCCTGTAAACTTATAAGCCCCTATGCAACACAAGTAATGATACTGTTGTTGAGAAATCATTTATATTTAGGGAACACAAGGAAGCAGGGACAGACAAAAGCAGTTCAGGGTGAGAGCTTCGGGCAGGGGGAGGGAGGCAAAGCAGCATATTACAGTCCCCCTTTTCAGCAATCACACGGGGTGAGAATGATAGCTTTTTGTTCTGGGGCACAGCCCTGGGGGTTGAGAGTACGGCTGCCCTGGACTCCCCCATGTTCTAGGGTATCTTGGGGTATGTCTACACTACCCTCCTACATGCGGCACGGGGTTCGAACTGCCGGCATTTAAAAATGGCGCCGGCCGGCTTTGTGCAAATGAATCCCGGGAAATTCAAATCCCGGGCTTCATTTGCAAGTGCGGTATGCCTACATTACCCTCCTACTTCGAATTAGGAGGGTAGTGTAGACGTACCCTTGGAAAGGAGGCATTGGAACTTGGAGAGAAGTTAATGTAGTTCAGCATCAGCCAGAGGGGGTCTCTGTGCATCTGATACTTCTTGAATATATTAGGCACGACACCAGCTCTGCCATGATCCTCAAGACGGTCTCCTATGTCTGCATTTTGCGTACCCTGCATGCTTTCCTGTCCTTACGCTCCACTTGCATCTCCTTCAGCGGTGTTCTCCTCCGCCTGTTTAATTGCACCCTGTCCAAGCAGTTGGATTGCATTTGCTCATCCTCATTACATTGTGTTAGCCGAACAGCCGGAGGCTGCTGCTGTTGCACTTGCTGAAATGAAAAAAGTGAAGGCCAGACTTTACAGGAGATACATTGTGGAATGTAGAACCTAATCTCTTAGCATAAATGAAGGTCTGACCAAGACCATAGGCATGTGTTATGTACAAGGCCAAAGTTATGTTTTTAAGCACCCTAAGTAGCTGGACTCAGTCTGGTGGTAGGCATGGTATGGGACAGGTTGGGGCTCACTCTTTTGCTTCTGCTTTGAAAGCATGAAAGCATTTGAAAGCACAGTGCTTGCAAATAGCAGCTCCCGCAGCTAGGTAAGCATCTTCGTTTGCAAAGAGCAGCCATGGTGGCGCAACAGCAAGTATGTTAAGCACCCTCCATGTGCCAAGGGAATGCAAATTTCCCTTCTCACAAGAGCCTGCAGGTGAGAGTGGAAGGTGGCAGGGTAGAGGCTCAAGCTATGCTTTGTTGGGGATGAGCAAACAGAGGTGTACTGGTGTAGTACCAGTTACACAGCTTCCCCTGTTTCTTCCAGGCTGCTACAGGCGATATCACATAGGCTCCATCTAAATTATCAGGGTTTTGTGGAAGAAGAAATGCAAATGAAGCTCTCATTAGCATTTCTTGCACTCCCATTTGCATATTCTCTTCCGTTACTTTTTACAGAAAAAAACGCAGTGTAGACAGGGCCATTTTGCACATAAAAACCCTTTTGTGCAAGAACCCTTATTCCTCATTTTTGGAGGAATAAGGGTTCTTGCACAAAAGGGTTTTTTTGTGAAAAATGCCATCTACACTGTGTTTATTTCCACAAAAACCTCTTCTGCAAAATTGATCAGAAGAGAATATGCAAATGAGAGCATGAGAAATGCTAATGAGTGCTTCATTTGCATTTCCTGTTCCGCAAAAACCTGACAGTGTAGACAGAGCCATAGAGTGCTAGGGAGCAGATGTTTACTGAATGTGGCCAGAAACCACAATGTTGCAATGCTTTGTACTGCAGTGATGCCAGAGCACTCACTGCTGGCTTGGTGAGAGAAGGTGTCCTGCCATGGAGAATGGATAAAGCAGCTTCCCCAGAAACCTTGGGAGAAGGCTGAAAGAGTTCCTCTGTGAGAGCTTTATGGAGATGCATAGGGAGGATTCCCACTCTGTCTACAGACACAATAACAAGCTGTTCCGGGAGCTTCTGCTATGTGGGCAGAGTGGCTGCCACAGTTCACACCCAATTGCCTTAACCCACTTGTAGCATGATTAAAATTGTGAACTCACCAGAAGCACCCTCCCCACTATCAGGACCAGCAGCAAGACGTCCTGGGAGGAGGGGGATTGTCTCCAGTTAAAAAGATCCTGGTTACTGGTGAGACTGGATGGTCCACTTGCCTGCTGACCATTCTCCTCTTCATCAACTGTCTCCCAAGCTGTTGCCAGAGGAGTGTCTTGAGAGGAATCCATGAACTGGGTTGGGACTTTGGTTGGGTTCCCCCCCAGACTTTTCACATGGCACTTCTTGGTTTCCCTGGTGTATCCTTTTTCCACCATGCTCTGTGCGTTCTTGGCATAGATACCAGCATTTATTTTGCTGCTTTATAGTTCTGCCTGTATTTGCAGAGGGAGCAGGAGTGGTTCAGAGAGTTGAGCAGCTAGACACTGGCAGAGGGGAAACAGGAGCTTGATCTGATCCATAGCTGCCCTTGTGTGGTGTCCACAGGCACCTCTTTTTAGATTTCCGCATTTCCTCTGCCCCCAGGGTTCAAACTTTAGCCATGGCTGACCTATGGGATATTCTTCTCAAAGCCTAGTCCCTTTGAGCATCTGCTCCCCTTCTGCCCCTTCCTACCAACAGCTATATTGGCAATAAAAAGCCTTTGACCCTTCCAAAATTGGTACAACCACCAGTTGTAGGCCATAGGGATCATCTGTGAATGATGGAGATTGTTAATGTGTCCCCGCAAGACTGCCACTGCCTTGGCAGCAGTGCCTTCGTGTTCACTTAATACAGATGGGATATGGCCCTCAATATCCTGGCAGGTGGTTAGCCCTGTTCTGTAACGTGCCTCAGTGTAAAAAGAGAATGTGTGTGCCCTCTTTAGGGCATAGTCTCTCTACTTTGAGGCCCCACCAAGATGTGAAGGGATGAAAATAACCAAGAATTTATCTGTAAACCAGCCACCAAGAGAGCTTTCCTCTGAACAAGCACTGGCAAGAAGTGTCTGGATTCAGAGATGGTTAAAGGGTGATTTGATTACTCTGTAAATACCTACATCTTCAATCTAGCAGAGAAAGGTCTAAGCATGCTCCAGTGGTGGCAGTTGAAGCTAGACTAATTTAGACTGGAAATAAGGTGTAAATTTTTAACAGGGAGAAATAACTACTCAAGTAACTTACCAAGGATCTTGGTGGATTCTCCATCACTTACCTTTTTGAAATCAAGATTGAATATTTGGACTTGTCTCCACTATGCCCAAGGATCAATGCTGCAGTGATCAATTCATCAGCTGTCGCTCTATCATATCTGCTTAGACCTGATAAATCGATCTCTGAGTGCCCTCCCATCAATGCTGGTTCTCCACAGGATGAGAAGAGTAGCTAGTGTTGATGGGAGAACAACCCCTACCAGCTTTACCGCGCATAAGATGCAGCAGTGAGTATGTTGACTTCAGCTATGCTGTTTGCACAACTGAAGTCACATAGATTAGATGGCAGGGGGCTAGTGTAGATAAGGCCTCTGTCTAAAAACTCTGCACTAGGAATTATTGTGGTGCAGATCTCTGGCCTGTGTTACGCAGGCTGTCAGTCTAGATTATCGTAACCATCCTTCTGATCCAAAAGGCAAGGTGCTAAGTGTAGTACTTCAGGACAGTAAATGCAGGAATTACTGGTGTGGCATCCTGAGAGGTCCACGTCTGCACTATCCATTGAGCCTCACTAGTTCCTGTCTGGCCTCGTAATAAAATATCTGTCCTCCCACAACAGCAAATATCCATGGGCAGCTTTGGTGGAGAAAGGGATAGAACTGTCTAGAGACCCTCTCTGCAGGGAAAGGGAAAATTTGAGCAGGGAAAGGGAAAATTTTGTTTGGATGGGTTGAGGCAGGAATCCAGGAAGTGATGATGGTAATGTTCAGCTTGATTTCAGGAAACCCTTTCTCGCAGGGCCTCTTTTATTCTGTGGGTCAGCCTCTCTAAAGGAGCTGCTAATGCTCTTGGAGTAGTTTGAAATGAAACTGAACCAACCCCTTGAGACTATGCAGAAGAGATTCATTTTGCACATGGCATTGGGAGGAGGTGGAATAGGAATCCGTCCTTAGTATCTTTGATTAACAGATCAGACTTGTTAATTTTAAATGGACTACATACAGGGCAATCCTGGTGATATTTTCTGGATTTTATTATGCAGGACCTCAGACTAGATCGGAGTGGGCTAAAGGGTCTCCGCGGGCTTCATCTGGCCCGGTTGATCTAGCTTGCAGGGGTCCTGCTGCTCCCCCGCCCCAGGACAATCAGGGAGCACAATCAAGTGGTTGACTCTGAGCTGTGCGCCAGAGGGTAGGGAGCAAGAGACTTCATGCTTCCCCTGCCCCCAGACCAATCAGGGCCTGTGGGTGGGGGAAGCATACACAGTCTCCTCCCACTCTGCAAGGGGCTCAGCAGTTAGTCAACCACCAGATGCTGCTCAACTGGCTGGTGACTCTAAACGCAATGCTTCCTTGCAGGGAAGGGGCAGATTTCATGTTCTCCCCCTGCCCTCAGGCCCTGATTGACCTGGGTTTGGGGGAGGGAGGAGGTGGGGGAGGGGGTATGCGAAGTCTCCTCCCACCTCCAGGGGCATGGGCACCTAGAGGGAACCGCCAGCTGTTCAGACCCAATCAGGGTCTGTGGGTGAGAGAGCACAGAACTGTCCTGGCCCCTCCCCTTCCTCCTGAGGCTCTGCCCCTTCCTGGGTGACCCAGGGCCACTTCAAAAATTTCTGAAGTGGTCTCGGGTCAAAAATTATTGCCCACCCCTGGACTAGATCTAATACTTTCTTCTGATTTTAACAGCTATGAAAATGCAGTGGTATGTTTTATATAAGAAGAAGTGTTTGCACCCATCCTTTAACTAGCTAATAAATGTCAAAAATTATTTGCAGCACCGGGAATGAAGAACACGTAGAATTCAAGAAAGGGTTTTACAGAGCAGATTCCA